GATTTTGCAGGGTGGAATTGTCTACGCTAATGGTGTGGTAATAATGTCATCCATCCCTTCAAAGCACAGAATTCTTCATAGTTCGAGTCACGGACTGGAATCGACTTTAGGTGTTCATAGGTAAGCATGCTGTCATTGTATCACAACATTCCCCAATCTTGTTACTTTAATCTCAAATGTGTTTTGTCTCTTCTTGTCCTCCTTCAAATTATATTTCCATGTAGCTTTTGACATAGCATATGACCTAATATATGATTTATGTCTTCTAAAGTGATACCTTTTATAATATTGAATTGATCTGGCTTCGTACTAAAGCCCCCCCATCAAAAAGGATAACATAATTGTGTTTGCGTATGGTTGTAGGGAGAAGTTATTCATTGCTCCTTATGGATTAGATAAATTACAATGGGATCCTTCAACTGACTGTTTTCTTCCTGAAAATTTTAATGCGGAAAATATGGAAGGTAAAGCCGTTTGCAAAGTTGAAGTGCAGCAGCGTCTGGGTTTATCAAAAGATGCCTCCAATATTCTTGTATGCATCTCTCTTGTGGTCTCTTTTAAGTCTTATACCTCGTCTGAAAAGTATAAAAGTTGAAACTGAACAGTTTTAGTAAAATTTCATGCATTCAAATGATATCCTTAAGATGTGATTTTGATCAATCTGAATTTCAAATAATGCATAGTTAATGCAGCGCCTCGGGTTGTCAAAAGATGCTTCTAATATTCTTATATGTATCTCACTTGTGGTCTCTTTTAAGTCTTATACCTCGTGTGAAAAATATAAAAGTTGAAACTGAACAGTTCTAGTAAAGCTTCATGCAGTCAAATGGTGTCCTTAAGATGTGATTTTGATCAATCTGAATTTCAAATAATGCGTAGTTATCAAGTTAATGCAGCATGCCATCTCTTTGAAAATTTGACTATTAAAATAAATCAAGCCGCTTATATTTTATATTTTTAAAATATAGCTAAATTTGACATTTACTCTGCAAGATCTATATGGATCATTTTCACCATCCTGATGCCCCTGGAGATTGGATTGCATAGTTGTAGTCTAACAAAAGCCTATGATCTGGACTGTCTTTTCATTCATTGTCTAGAAAAGCACACATGACATTAATTCTCTTTGAAATGACAAAACTGTGTGGTTAATGATTAATCTGCTATTATCTGACCTCTATGTAAACACCGCATCCTCGTGTTTAGCAAGCACGGGCCTTTGATGTGTTTTTCATGTGTTGATGTTGCATAAATACTTAACATTTATACAGTCATAAAAAATATCTCACTGAGTGGTTATATACCTTAACACATAAGCACATGTTTAGATTTAAGGACGCCTAACAATATTACTGATATTGGTGTAATTCTGTATTTTCTTTTCATTTATCTGGTTTTTCCAGATTTTCTTAGAGCAGTTCTTACAGACACAACTAATCTTTCTTATATTTTATGAAACTGATGAGTTCTCTACACTTGGTTTTACTCGTCTGTTTGTTATTGAAATTTTTTATCAGGTTGGATGCATTTTTTCAGAATGGGGAGACATTGATGTGAACAAACTGAAGGAGATTGTCTGGAATACTATGGACCGCAATGTTCAGGTTGCTACTCCTACAGAACTCATACTATTTGCCCCAGCAGTTCAGTTGCGTATTGCTCGTAACTGAAAGTTTTCCTTTGTTGTTATTAAAAAGGAACCTCCAAAGTTAGAAGAATGGATATAAAATTGTCTGAAGTCGAAGTTTCGCTTATAAAGCCAAAACTCTTATGATGAAGAACATGTTATGACCAACATGAGCTAGTAAATCTTGTACAAAATAAATCTGACTGTGGGAGAGATCTTTTCTGGGAGGATTTTAGACTAAAGGTAATTTTTCATTGATTATCTGCAGATTATATTTATGGGGAATAGTAAAAGATCCATCTCTAATCAGGCACTGGAGTTTCTTCAGAAAGAACTAAAGGTGTTTCCTGTTCTGTTTTCATTTTTCATCTTAATTTTCATCTTAATTGCTGCAATTGGGTGCTACATGCTATTCTGGAAAGCATTGAGGATTAGTTTTCATCTGTCTGGAACCCTGGAAGTATATTATGATAGCTCATTATCTTGCATGAGGAACATTTTTAGCTAACCTATCTTCAACATTTTGCCTCATCTTCCGATGGTATCTGCTTTTGCTTTCAAAATCTGCAGGATGAAAATCTGAAATTTGTGCTCACATATGATGAAGCTCTATTACATTTAACATTTGCTGGATCTGACATTATTTTGTGCCATTCTCATGACCCCGTTGAAGAAGTTCCAGTAAGTGCATCACTTCCCCCATTAGTAGTGTTTTTGCCTCTATTATTTGAAGCTTAAGGTAGACATACATGAACCAGAATTGGTTCATCTTCAAGACAGTAGTTTACTTTTGGTGGAAATTTGATAGGACCCAAGATTAACAGTAGAAAATAATGCTGCAACCGATATTGATTACACAAAATACTTGGTTATAGTGCAAGATATCAGTCGTACAGCTCACATTAAGGACAAAACACTCTAAAGCACAAGGAAAATGATGAAGAAAGACTCCCTTCCTCCATCCCTAACCTGGCCTTCGATAGGCCATTCCTCTCCTCACTAAACTCAGTCTACAAAATAACTCTTACCTTTCCCTGATTTCCCCCATGGCTAATTAGATCAAAGGTGATGCCCTTAGTACCCAAAATACCCTTTTGACCACAGTTAGGTCTGAAACATCCTAAATATTACTAGCTTTATGCTCTTTCTCCAAAATAGGATGGTCAACATCCTGGTTATGAAAAAGTAACTTCCCTTGTGTGTGAATCTTGTCTTGCCAATAAAAAGAGATTCTAACAAAATTGAAGTTTCCTCAGGAAGATTGTGCTCCTTGTCTTTATGAATATTGAATGTTGCTATTCTGAGTCTCAGAATATAGATGCGGACATCATACTATCTTTCCATCTTTTTCTCTTTGTAATCCTTATGTTGGCTCTTGAGAAAGGCTCCGTCACCTTCTATTACAATATGTTCCCGTAGTTGGTGTGGGCATTTGGCCTTAGATTAGGCAAATTCTTTTCTTTGGGAATTTTCATGTTTTATGAAAATTTTAATACTTTGCGTGGTTGGAATGTGTAGCTCAAGGCTTTAAGGTATGGAGCAGCTCCAATAGTAGTTGACCATGATGCTGCCGCTAACAGGTAACCATCTTCCGCCGAATATTAATTAAACAATTATTTATGGATGATTTTTCCCCTCCTTGTTTATTGTATACTAAGGAAATTTATCCCGTTGTATCATATTTTTTGTCAGGAACTTCATAAATCGTGATCATGAGACCACAAAGTACTCTCTGTTTATCAACTCCACCTTTGGAAACCTTTCTCTTGACCTTGCCATTGGTGAAATTGTGTGTTATTTCTCATGGATTTTCCAGTAGTCTCTATCTATAGCTCTACACACACACACAGAAATCAAAATACCACCTCCAGTCATAAATGTAAAAATTTAATTTGTAGCGCAATTTACGTTACAAACTAAATTTTATATTTATGACTAGAGATAGTATATATTATGACGTGCCACAACTTATAAATCCTTTGCTTTTTCATATGTCTGTAGAGGAATAGCCCATCCAAGTGGGAAGGAAGAATAAAGGAAGCAATGACACAGGACTTCTCATGGGATGGGGAATGCTGTGACGTTCATGTTTCGGCTTATGCAGCAATAAGAATTTGTGAAGTGGATTGTTGGTTACTTAGTAATGATGGGCCCTCACCAGTCGAATAAGTGATGATTTGTTGTTGAGTAAATTACACTGATTTTCTTTGGATTTTAATATTAAATAATTTTTTATTTTCAAATTATGTATGAATTTCTTAAAAGTTCCATTACACTATATTCTTTTTAACATTCTTATTAAATATTTTTCGTTGGCATGGACTTAAAATTGATTATTGGAAGGTGTGTGTCTGTGTTTTTTTTTTTTTTTTGGGTGCCCCCGCCCCGGGGGGTTGTTGAGAGTAGAAGAAGATGGGGGTAAATGGATAAAAAGAGAGAGAAATAGAAGGAAGCAGTGGAACGGTGGAACCATCAAAATTTTGATATAACGATGATGGAGAGAAATGTAGGGGGAATGGGAGGAAGGAAGTTGAGACAATCCTCTCCCATAATTAGACAAGTTTTTTATGCATCACCTAATGTCTGAAAAATAAGTTAAAATTTTATTTTTCATAAACACTAAAAAATTGGTAAAAAATCCATTATTATAAAATTAATTGTGCAAAAATATCTTAGGAGGATGCAAATTGCGTGCAACATATTTTTATGTGGATTACAAACTACTAAAAAAGAGCTATACAAGCTGAAGATAAATTACACCAAGGTTTTTAGATATATCTTAGGCGTCATTACATAATTAATTTTATAATTTTTTGACTAATTTTTTCATAAACATAAAAAAAGTTGATAATTTTTTATTAATAAAAATATTATTCTAAATAGATAAAACGATAAATACGAGAACAGAACACGCCAAGCCCAAGTTGAAAGTTTATAACTTAAAATTAAAAGTCAATATTTTTAATATAAAATCATAAAATGATTTGACTGCATTTTTAATATAAAATTAATTAGAGACTCGTTTGTCCAAAAAAAAAGATTTAAAATATAATACTTCAATTATTTTATCTTTCATATTTATCTTTTTTTAAAAAAAATCTATATGGTGACGACACATATTAAAAATTTTGTAAAAAGATAATTTTAATACACATAATTAATAAAAATATTTTAAAAATAATATATATTTAATAGAAATAGCTAATTTAATTAATTTTTTTAATATTTACATACTTAATCACACGAGTTAGTATTTAAAATTTGCTGGTTGAGCGTTGGGTATGTAATATACCAATATATAAATAATTTATTATAAATTATATGCCGATGAATGACAACAATAATAGTTGGCCTATAACAGCACCAGACCTGCGCGAAAACTTGAATTTCAAGCCGAGCCTCTTCTTTGGCCAAACCTCTTCTAATTTCTTTATCAACGTTGCCCAAATTCTGCTGCTGCTTGCTTCCATTCAGGTGGTAAAATGGCAGACGACTCTCTCACCAAGTCAGTTTCTTCTCCATCATGGTTTACGCCTAAAAGGTATTTCATCTTTTTCCTCCTTTTCCATCTCATATCTCTAGCCAGGATTGTGAATTAGCGGCAAAGGAAGCAATTTTCTTCTCTGCTAAGGCCTAAGAAACCTAATTTCGCGTTCTTTTTTTCGAATTTATCCTGTCCTGTTACGTCCTCTTTATTTTTGAAGTATATTGTATGAACTAGCCAGCTTTCCCCGTTTTTATATTTTGACCCTCTTATTTTTTTCGCCTCGAATGGGCTGGTGTAGCTAACTACTTCCATGTTTAGTGGATTCTGAAGGGGTTGCTGATTGAGTTGGAGAAATGAAAAGTAAAATTAGGAACCGCCTTCCGGACCCTGGGTTTACTTTATTATTTATCTCACATTGTTAATGTTATCTACTAATATACGGTCTTAAATTCTTAATTTGGAAAGAGAAAAAGTGGTTTTTGATCTGGATTAAATGTTTCCTCTAGTTATTGCCTTTGCTTGTGTTTATGTGAGCTAGTTCTATATGGGGGTTTTAATTTTTGCTGCCAAGGTCTTCTGAGGCTCTGAGATGTGAATAGTGAATACTGCGGTTTCTTATCAGGATGGATTCCTCCTAACTAGTAATTTGTGAAACTGAAAATAATAGTGTTTCCAGAAAATTAGTATGCAAGTCGGTAATATGAGGATATCTGGAGGTTCGACTTGGTCAAGACGCGTTTAATGTCTCAAAATATTATGATGCATTGTGGCACTTGGGATTGCATATGTGATGGGATACTAAAGCAATGGAAGTTGCCTTGCTTAGCTATTCATGTCTACACGATGCAACTGCAGATGTTTTGATTTCCAAAAGAAAAATTGCATTTTAATTCTATGTGTTTTATCTAGACAAACCCTGATTATTCCTGTGTATTTTGTAAATGTTGATAAAGTTTTCTCTTGCTTCAGGCTTCTTATTATATTTTGTGTCATTAATTTGATAAACTACGTGGATCGGGGAGCCATAGCCAGTAATGGTGTTAATGGAAGTCTTGAAACTTGTACTGACGGTGGGATTTGTACTTCGGGTAGCGGAATTCAGTAAGCTCTATTTGTAAGCTTTGTTTTACCATGTAAAGTTGTCAGGGTATATTCTTACGTTGATACTGTTGCCAAAATTCATTTGAAATGCACCTTACTGGGGCCTAAAATTTGGTTCCCAGACTTAAGGATTGTTGGTGATACTTCTCCGAATTATGAGATGACATGTGAATACTGAATACTTAGAGCATATGGATGTTACTAATCATTGATGATTTTTATAGTTTTATTTTCTTATTTGCTGATGTTCAGGTAAAATTTCAAACAATTGGAATCATAATTGCACGGACCATTGAAATTTACATCTTAACTGTGAATGACTTCAGTTGCCTGATCTTTGTAAAACTTGAACTTGTAGCTTGGACAATGAAGGAGGAGACAAGAATAAGAACATTGATGAATTACATAACTATTTCTCTTTCTGCAAATGTGAAGCTGATAGAGGATTGAGGCTTGAGGCTTTTATGCTTACCATTGTTTAGTTTTTATATCCAGGAGTTCATTCTTGTAAAATAGGTTTGATATTGCTCATGTTTCCTTCATGTTATACCATATTCAGATACCACAATCATGTGCTAATGCAAATGCCTTTTTGTTCAAGTATTTTTTTCCCCCGGTGATGTTCAATTCAAATTGTGGTTGTCACTGTTATACATAATGAAGGATCTATTTTATTTTTACTTGTTAATTGGCTTAGCATCATTTCAAGGTGGCTTGCTGCTTTCGTTGCAGGGGGGATTTCAAGTTGAGCAATTTTCAAGATGGAATCTTGTCATCAGCATTTATGGTTGGGCTTCTGGTTGCTTCTCCTATATTTGCATCTCTGGCCAAAAGGTGAACAATTTGATTCTTGACCTCCAGCCTCCTAAGCTTTTTTAAACCGAGTGAACATGCTATACTCTAATGAGATGAGATTTAGGTTATCTAATGAGATGAGTGAACCATAAAGTTTTTCTCAAAACGTGATATACACTGGCTTTTCATGTGTTTATGTATCTCATGGAACACTTGAATGGACCCTGCAGAAACTGCAGTCATTTCATGTTAGCATGGGGCAGAAGAGTGCTTGATATAGATTCATTTATTTTCAAAATTGCAGCTTTCTTTTTTCTTGGAGATTTTGCATACTTAGCCCATATAATGAGATAATAATCATATGATAAGTTGTAGTTTCATGTAGATGCTATTTTAACTTTGTGCATGATCTAATGTTAGCCATGCCTAAAACTCCAATCTAAATAATGATCTCAAAGTTTAAGGTATTAGGTATTGGGTCAAAAGTAGATCTTATCTCTTACATGAACTTTTGCTAGAGTCCATCTTTAAAATAATTAAGCTGATCGAAGAAGCGAATTCTGCATTTGGGACAGTGTTTTGAAATTTATTTGCTTATAAATTGTATATCACCAAAAACAAGACCTTGCACTGATGACAAAGTTCAGCCATTGGACCTTGTAAATGGGTAAATGGACATTTCCTGTATTCCTCTTTGCGGAATTGAATCAAGTTAAAGACAAGTGTCATGGCGATTCTATAAGGAAGCTTCCATTTGATATTTGTCATCTTGTTTTAAATTGATTTATTTGTGCTTTTCTGGTCAAACTAATTATCAATGAATAGAGAGGACATTTCCGTTTGATATTTGCCATCTTGTTTATATACACTGGCAAAGTGGCAATCTAGACAGTTATGGGGATTGATATCTGATAAAAGCATGAAAAGTTTCAGCATTTAGTTGTGCTTTGGTGCCAAAAAAAAAAAGATTGCTAGAAGACATTAAAAACTAACTGCATTGGAAGGCGATAATATAAACCGTACATTTGGCTGAAGTTAATATATTCAGCTAGCTATGGAGCATTAGTACTTAATTTTACTTTTGCAATCTATATACTTTCCTTTAAAAGGTATGATAGTTAGTGATCTATTTTGCTATTGTATTTGCAGTCATAATCCATTTCGGTTGATTGGAGTTGGCTTATCTGTTTGGACATTTGCAGTAGCTGGCTGTGGTAGTTCCTTTGATTTTTGGTCTATCACAATATGCCGCATGTAAGGGGGATTTTCAGTTCTGGCAAGGCACTATAGATTAGCATTTTCTAGTAATACTTTTGAATTAGAATGATGGCAATGGTTTTGTAGGCTAGTTGGTGTGGGTGAGGCATCCTTCATAAGCCTTGCAGCCCCATTTATAGATGATAATGCTCCTGTTGCACAGGTTTGTCCGGGTTTCCCCTTCCCGTTTAGAATTAGCTGAACTTATTTATCCATTGGAGCAAAGCTGCAGCTTTACAGAATGCCTTATTGATTGCAGAAAACAGCATGGCTTGCTATGTTTTATATGTGTATACCAGCTGGGACTGCTTTGGGCTATGTTTATGGTGGAATTGTAAGTTTACGTGTTTATGGTTTGGGTAATCTTGGGCTAAGTTTTATGCTTTGCTCACGTGCCATTAACTTGGCTCAAACCTTAATTTTTCTTGTATGAGCAATAATTTTACATATCAAAGGAATATGGCATGATCTATAAGTGATGGTAACTAATGCTTAGCTAAGTTCTTATTATCTTAAATTTGGCAATTCTGGTCGCCATTAAATAACTTAAGATGGAGCTTCTTCACAGTGTTGGCCTCATGATATTTTTCTTAAAGCGACAGCCAATTTGGATGTACAGTGGGATTGATCAGCGCTGTTGCATTCTTAACTTTTTGTTTTTACTGCTTTTTGCTTTCCTATTATTTGCTTTCTCATCGGAATACCTGATCCTCCTCATTTGTCTCCTTATCCTATCTTAGTAAAATTCTTTTCTTCACCCCAAAAAGAGAAGATTGAGTGGACAAAGGGTACCTCACTCTACAAGTTATCCACCTGTTCAACCATGCCTATTTTTACAGTTGTGTTAGTTCATCCTACCCCTGCACACCTGTACAGTAATTGTATGATACTGTGACTATGGGATATGGTGCTGTATGGTGAAAAATGTTGGGTATAGAAATTACCATCATGATTCACTTATCCGCTGTTTTTTATGTCCAAACTCATCATTTACTTGAATTACTTAGCTTATACAATGATGACTTTCGTTTACTAATGCATTACTAGACAATATTCTAAATTTTAATTTTGTGTAGGTTGGAAGCCTTGTTAATTGGCGTGTTGCATTTTGGGGCGAGGCAATTTTGATGCTTCCTTTTCCTATTCTGGGTTTTGCAATTGAGCCTTTGCAATTGAGAGGTATGCTTTTTTTTTTTTTTTTTTAATTGCAATGTGTTCCAGAACGTCAGGAATTCATGTTACTAATACATTATTTGAATACACAGGCTTTACTCCGATGGAAACCAGGGAGACACTAATATCTGTTGAAACATTTGGTCCCAATACTGAAGGTGTCACTAAACCCTAAGGCCTAAAGTATCACTTCCGTAGTAAAATCTTTTGGGTACCTTTTAGAGATCCTTAGACTGAAGGAAACTCAACTTACCTTGATTTTTTACATAATACCTCAAATCTTAACCAAAAATTAAAAAAATATGAGCCGTTTCCCTAATGAAAAGAAGAGGATAGATAATGAGGTATCAATTTACATTTAAAAAATAATACATGAATTGCAGTCATTCATTGAGTACAAGAACATCTTCAAATCTTGTATGTGTATCCATGTTTCTGTTTCAATATGTGCTGTCTGGTTTAGTATTAGATCAGGGTTTTTCTACATGCCTAGCTTTCAGTGAAAAGCTATGGCATGACAAGATCAGTGCTAAGTGATGTAAGTTCAAAATTTTTTCTTGTTAAATTCATCCTATAATTTCTTAACACCAGTTTTCATTTTGATAAAAAGTCCTATGTTTATTATGTCACTGATCCGTTCAGGATAATTCTGTTTGTAAGCTTCATATATCTGTTTCTATTTTACTGCCTTTTCATGTGGTGCTAAATAATGTTTATACTCAAAATCTGAGATTTCCCTTGTAGATGATGACGCCCTTGCTGTAGATCAAGCTTTTATCACAGAGTCCAAGTGAGTGACGATTTTTCGTTGTTGCTTTTTTGTTTCAGCAGTGTCTATGACCTCTTTTTCTAATGCTAATAAAAAGAAAATCTGAAATCCAGCTGATAAACCCCTTTTTTTTTTTTGGTGTTCAAAAGGGATGAAAACAAAGAAATTTAGGTGCAGAGTTCATTTACTGTCCGCATTGTTCACAGATTTGTTCTGGGTGGACAATTTTAATTACAATAACCTTCATTCTTATTAGGCTACTTAATCTTTAAGAGAACAGTTGACGTCCTGAAGGGAAATTTATCTGACTTAAAAATGTCACTTTAAGATGATCACGTCAATAACATAATACTTGAAAATTGACAGCAGCGAATAATGTGAACCATTTTCAAGTTGACACCATCTCATGTGAAGCAGTTCTGCCACTTTTGCAGATAGATAGCTCGTGTAGTGGCTAACTTTTCTGCTGGAGTTAATCTGAGTATAACTAGTAATACTTTATAGCATTGAAGGAAGTCCACCTTGATGATATGATCAGAATGGGCTGGTGAACTTGTTTGCTTCTCCTCATGTTATGGCCTATTTGCCTCTAATGATGGGTGACTTTTTGTCAGGTCAACTTCCAAAATGTGGAATCAGTTCACGAGAATCGGGAATGACATGCTGACTCTTTTGCATGATCAAGTGTATGTTATAAATGTTCTAGGTACGTACTTTTTGTTGACTCTTTCTACCTTCTGAGAATTAACTTTTTCTGCTTGTTTTATATTCTAAAATCCTTGCTTCATGTTAACTATCTATAAAATTGAAACTTGTTTAAAATATTTTTCTCAACATTATTGATTGATAAGTTGGAACAAATTTCAATTTTGAGAAATTTCGTCCATATAGTCAATTTGTAACTATTTAAATTATTATTTGGGACAATTGTGGTTTATTTGTTGTCTAGTCTTTTGAGCTGATGTAGTTTTCTTTTACTTCTTTTTATTTGCTGCTCTTGGAGGATTTTTTATCCTTGTTTTTAGTATATCTCGTCCTTCCGTTAAATGAATTCCTTTGTTAAAAATAAATTTGTTGATTACCAGGCTATATATCATACACTTTTGTCATTGGAGCTTACTCATACTGGGGCCCAAAAGCAGGATATAATATTTACCATATGGTATTGTCACTTGTAGCCCTTTTAATATAGTTCTATTTCCTTTCCTTTCTCTGCTGTTATTTGCACTTTTTGTGTGTTTCCCTTTGACTTCAATGCAACCGGGTATTATCTTTGAGCCTTGGTCTATATGGCAATGTCCTGAGTTCAACTGAGTTTTTTTTTCTTTTTGACAGAGTAATGCTGACCTGTTATTTGGAGGTGTGACCATTATTTGTGGAATTTTGGGCACATTAGCTGGAGGCTTGATTCTTGATAGGATGAATTCAACCATCTCTAATGCTTTCAAGGTATTATTGAGTTTCATTCACATGTAATGTGAAAGAACGACCTACCTGTCTGCTTTTTAGCCCCCACTTAAAACTCTATACTTGAGAAGAGGGCTGATCGCTTAAGATCTCTAAGTTTCTTAACCAAGAAACGAGGAAATCAGGTTTTACCATTATCATTATATCTGGTATAAGAACTTGATCATTATATTAACCATAATTTACTTCAAAAACAATCTATCCTCTCGCAATTGATGCTTTTTGATACACAACTCCATGGTTTTCAGCTATCAGTCAACAGTTTTAGAAATTTTCCTGTTTATGAGTATTGGCAACTATTACACATAAACCCGCCCATGTATTTTGACCAAAATTCAGAGCTGCGTTCACTGGTAAATTTGTTGTCTCCTATTTTTCTTCTGTGTTTCTGGTTATGAGATAGTCACAATACCTGTACCTGTTATAACAACACTGCTTTTTGAGATATCATTTATGGAATTGAGGTTGTTTTTATCTATCTATCTATCTATACTACCTTCAAAGACGTCATTCTACTAAATATAAGTTCAGAAAATCAGAAGTTAAATGTTAAATATCCTAGGCATCTTTCCCTTTGATGATGCCGTTGGAGACCATGTCCTTTTCATGGATCTTTTGTTAGCGTCAATTATGTCTAGGTCTTCATTGCATAATCATCTTTGGATGTTTATTTTTATTAATTTACTTAACTTATTTAGGGTACGTTTATTACTGTTGCAGCTTCTTTCTGGAGCAACATTTCTTGGGGCAATATTTTGCTTGGGTGCATTTTGTTTTAAAAGCTTGTCTGGATTCTTGGTCCTTTTTGCTATAGGTGAACTACTGATTTTTGCCACGCAGGTAAAAGCAGCTATTTTATCAGTGCTTGACTAGCTATTTCTGTTGCATAGCAGGTGTATGATATTGTACTGGATTATGGTCTCAGATGCTTCGCTTAAGGACTTGATAATTAGATTTAAGATGATAATCTTGTCCAGAACTTGTGTCTCCTTTTTAGGTTTATTGCTTAATTTTAGTTAATACCCCTTCTTCTTACCTTATGTTTAAAAATTAAAATAAGACTGTTAGAAGCCCTTGATTCTCTCCCTGATTCTCTCCCTTTATTCTCTCCATGATTTACCCATGATTCTAGCTAGACAATGAATTCCTGATTACTTGTGATATTGCAATATCTTTCATTTATTACTGATTGATTGTAACCGGTAGTATGAGACTCTATATATTGTACCCACATCATATGAAATAATATGGCAGAGTGAATTTTCAATACTCTTTTAGCATGGTATCAGAGCGTGTGAGCTTGGAAAGGGTCCTGGAGAGTCTGCCGTGAGCCAGAGAGAGAGAGACGGCGAGGAGAGAGAGAGAGAGAGTGAGTGAGGCGTCCTCAAAACTGGAACCAGAAGTGGTCCGTGGACGACACCACCCCTCCAGGCCTCACCGGCGTCCCCAGATCGGCGCGTCCCCAGAAGCCGACGTCCAACGGAGCTGCGCGTGACCCTCACGCGCCGTTACAAGCTCCGCGCGTGAATCCCACGCGCCGCCACGCCCCGCCACTGTACCAGCGCGTGCCGCCCACGCGCCGCCGCCAGAGACCTCCAGTACCTCCCAGAGACCCAGAAGATGGATAACCCAGAATTCCCACCACTTTTTGGGTCTGTTCGCAATATTCCAAGGGTTCTCATGTCCGGTACATCTTCTTCACCGGTGGTTACTCCTTCTTCAGATCTGACAGTAGCCGCTGAACCTCAAGCTATGGGGGTAGCCCACAAACTTAATGGAAGCAATTATCTCCAATGGTCTCAAAGTGTATTAATGTATCTGCGTGGGAAGCGTAAGGAGAAGTATATCAATGGAGAAGCAACACAACCTTCGCATAATGATCCCAAATTTGATACCTGGTTCGCTGAAAATAATCAGGTGATGTCTTGGTTGTGCAATTCAATGACTCTCGAAATCAGTGAAGGATACCTTCTTGCAAGTACAGCCAAGGAAATCTGGGATGCTGCTAAGCGGACCTACTCTACCCTCGATAACACTGCAGCCTTATTAGATCTAAAGAGGCAGCTCAAAGATCTGAAACAAGGCAACTTAACTGTGACTCAATACTACAGTACGTTGACAAAGATATGGCAGCAATTGGACCTCTTTGAAGTACATCCTTGGAAGGATATGGATGATGCTAATTACTACAGACAATTGGTGGAAAGAGGACGAACATATGACTTTCTGTTGGGCCTGAATGATGTTTTTGAAGAAGTGAGAGGGAGAATTATGGGACTGAAGCCGCTGCCATCCCTATTTGAAGTCTTCAGTATGGTTAAGTTCGAAGAAAGCCGAAGACACCTCACTCAAGGCAGCCTGACCGCAGCAGAGGGCTCGGCATTGGTGACGAGGGGGTTCCAGACATCAGAGGGCCCTGAGAAGAAAGGGAACAAGTGGTGCAACCACTGTAACAAGAGAGGCCACACCAGAGATGAATGCTGGAAACTACATGGGAAACCAACTCAAGGGAAACAGAAACAACGGGAAGATAGAAGGAGCCACCACACCTCCTCTGAAGAAAAAGGTGATGATGGAGACCAATTGACCAGAGAAGAGCTTCAAATGCTTCGTAAGATACTTGAAAAACAAAACAAATCAAAATCTGTTCCCAACGTGAACTTGATACAGTCAGGTAATTCCATTATAGCCCTCAATGCAATGATAACTAGTGATGAGACTTGGATTGTTGACTCCGGTGCTACAGATCACATGACTGGTAATAAGTCCTTCTTCAAAACCCTCAAATATTGCCATGAGAACCTTAGAGTAAAAGTGGCAACTGGACTGTATACTAAAGTTGAGGGTGTTGGCAGTGTGGCTCTATCTGAAGATCTGGAAATCCATAATGTTTTGTTTGTCCCTGCTCTTACTTGCAATCTTATTTCTGTGAGCAAATTAACTAAAGGGAAAGCATGTCGGGTGATATTTGATGATGTTAAATGTGTTTTTCAGGATTCGACCTCGGGGAGGAAGATTTTGACTGCTAAAGAATGGGATGGACTCTACTACTTTGAAGGAAAGGATATGAAGACAGCAGGAGCAAAGAAAGCTATGGTTAGCTCCAACTCTCAGAATAAAAATGTAATGTTGTGGCATCAAAGATTAGGCCACCCCAGCTTTGATTATATGAAGCATGTGTTTCCAACTTTATTCAATAAAAATTCTTCTCCTTTCCAATGTGAAACGTGTCAAATTGCTAAACAAACTCGCGCCTCTTATCCCAAACATACTTACAAACCTTCTACCCCGTTCACAATGATCCATACCGACATTTGGGGACCAGCCAAAACCAACACCCGAACAGGCACAAAGTGGTTTATCACATTCATAGATGATCACACCCGGGTCACATGGGTTTACCTTATGAAAGAGAAATCCGAAGCCCTACAAATTTTCAAAAACTTTTACTCGTTTGTGAGAACCCAATTCCAAACTACCATCAAAGTCCTGAGAAGTGACAATGCCAAAGAGTATGTGAGTGGAGCCTTTAGGGAATTTCTTGAGCAGGAGGGAATCCATCACCAAACCTCATGTGTTTATACTCCTCAACAAAATGGAGTTGCTGAGCGAAAGAATAGACACCTTTTGGAAGTGACCCGAGCTATTATGATGGAAAGAAATGTTCCAAATCTGTTTTGGGGAGATGCTGTACTAACCGCAGCCTATCTTATCAACCGCATGGCCTCTAAAATTCTCCACTTTAGTACCCCTATTCAAAAGCTCCTCGAGACTTACCCCACTTCACCTATCATCAATACCATCCCTCAAAAGGTCTTTGGGTGTGTCGTCTTTGTCCATAAACATGATGGAGGCAAACTAGGTGCTAGAGCAGAAAAATGCATTTTCCTCGGGTATTCCTCCACCAAAAAGGGGTACAAGTGTTATTGTCCCACCACCAGAAAACTTATAATCTCCAAAGACACAGTCTTTTATGAGGATGATGCTTACTATCCCAAATTACCCATTCAGGGGGAGCACTATGGAGTAGAATGGCTAATTACATCCGAACCTATAACCATACCGCCTCAAGACAACATCCCTGAACCGGAAACGGAACCAAAAACCCCTACTACTACACCTTCTCCAGAACACCAAAACTCCACAAACATCCCTCACCCAATGGAAACCAATGCTGAAATTGATGCAGGGGTGACAGAGCACTCAAGTCCTCAATCAGGTGAACAGGACAGTAGTAGTAGGGTTCCTTCCATTCCAAGGCAGCAACATGATTCCAATCCGGAGTTGGATCCTGAAGAACTGGGATGGCCTATTGCACTTAGAAAGGGGGTAAGATCGTGTACTCAACATCCTATTCAAAAATTTGTCTCCTATGGCAATTTATCTGCGAGAATGCAAACTTTTGTAGTGAATAGCTCACAGGTGAAAATTCCAGAAACATTTCAACAGGCTGTAACAGATCCTAATTGGAAACATGCTGCATATGAGGAGTTGAGAGCCTTGAAGGAGAATAACACGTGGGATATCACCACACTTCCTAAAGGCAAGAAAGCAGTGGGTTGCAGGTGGATCTTCACCCCTAAATTCAATCCTGATGGCAGCATCAACAAGTACAAAGGAAGATTAGTTGCCAAAGGGTACACCCAAACCTATGGGATTGATTATCAAGAAACGTTTGCTCCTGTGGCAAAATTCAACACCATCCAGGTACTCCTGTCCCTAGCTGCCAACCTTGATTGGCCCCTACATCAACTAGATGTGAAGAATGCTTTCCTAAATGGAGATTTGGAGGAGGAAGTGTACATGGAAATTCCAGATGGAGTAATAGCTCCGCCCAACTCAGTTTGCAAATTGAAGAAATCATTATATGGCCTGAAACAATCTCCACGAGCATGGTTCGACAGGTTTGCCAAAGCGATCAAAAGGTTTGGCTACATTCAAGGACAAGCTGATCACACTCTTTTCGTCAAACACAGTGATGGAAAGGTAACGATCCTAATTGTGTATGTGGATGATATAGTCATAACTGGCAGTGATGAGGTTTCTATCTCCCACCTCAAGAAGGCCCTGGCTAGGGAATTCCAAGTGAAGGATCTAGGCCAAATGAAGTACTTTCTTGGAATGGAGGTTGCTAGATCCAAAAAGGGTATAAGTGTGTCTCAACGAAAGTACACACTGGACTTACTCCACGAAACAGGAATACTTGGGGCTAAACCTAGTGAGACTCCTATGGAAGAGTCATGCAATCTGGAAGTGAAACCAAAAGGGACACCAGTTAACTCAGAAAGGTACAGAAGACTTGTGGGCAAACTAATCTACTTGACTCATACAAGGCCTGACATTAGTTATGCAGTTGGAGTGGTAAGCCAATTTATGCATCAACCCCAGGAAGAACACATGGAAGCAGTATACAGAATCCTCACCTACCTCAAACTCAACCCTGGAAGAGGACTATTCTTTAAAAAGGGGAGTACAAGGAGCATCGAGGTCTACACTGATGCAGATCATGGGAGAGCTGTGGATAACAGAAGATCTGTCACAGGATACTGTACTTATGTTTGGGGAAACTTAGTCACTTGGCGAAGCAAGAAACAGACAGTAGTCTCAAGAAGCAGTGCTGAGGCTGAGCTAAGAGCTGTAGCCCTGGGGGTATGTGAAGGAATGTGGGTGATTAGACTTCTGAAGGAATTGAGAATCTCCTATGAAGGACCTATGAATCTCTGGTGTGACAATCAAGCCAGCATTGAAATGACCAAAAATCCTGTGTATCACGACCGAACAAAGCATGTTGACATTGATCGGCACTTCATCAAAGAAAAGGTCGAGGATGGCATCATTAACTTGAACTATGTGCGTTCAACTGATCAGATTGCTGACATCATGACCAAACCGTTAGCCAGAGTCAAGTTTGAAGGGCTTCGAAGCAAGCTGGGAATGGTTGACATCTACTCACCAGCTTGAGGGGGAGTGTTAGAAGCCCTTGATTCTCTCCCTGATTCTCTCCCTTTATTCTCTCCATGATTTACCCATGATTCTAGCTAGACAATGAATTCCTGATTACTTGTGATATTGCAATATCTTTCATTTATTACTGATTGATTGTAACCGGTAGTATGAGACTCTATATATTGTACCCACATCATATGAAATAATATGGCAGAGTGAATTTTCAATACTCTTTTAGCAAAGACTCCATCAATTGCTATATTCTTTAGGGAGACATGGGTCTGGAAAAATGAGTGAGATCCGACAAAGTCTCGAAGCCCATGTATCTCAGAGTCCATATTTTAAAGAGATCCTACCCGACCTCCCGAACTTTCGAGTGTCCTCGAAAGAGATGCTGATCTGTTGGTTAAAACAAACCAGTGTATGCTGTCCCATTGAATATTATGCATCGTTTTACATTCTACTGTTGCTCTTAACCAAAACACCTAATCATTTTTGGCGAGACCATACGTGGTTCAACTTAGAGACCAGATAGTTGATCATATCACACCTCTTTTGCTTCCTTAGATACACGCAAAAAATAGATTTCCCTGCAAACAATTTAGTGCTCCCCCTCCCCCCTAATTCTACATTATTTATCTTTCTTTGGATTTTAAAATGGTCTTCCGCGGTAGTTGGTACTTAGTAGTATATTTTAGGTTGTTTTAACTTCATGCAAAATAGAATTGCTTAGTTCCATTATTTACGTGTTATAATTGATTCGATTGTAGTTGTAAGCATAATTTAATGAATTTATTGTTCAAATGTTCATATTTAGCTTCTTTGATTCTCCATGTTACCGCTGCTTTATTCATTCTTCGGTTGTAGCCACCATTATTTATTATCCACCCAAGTCCATATGCATTGTCTTTCAAATTTTTTCTCTTTGATTCAATGACTTGCCCTGCTATCTCTTTCCACCCTTGTTTATTTGTTTATTTTGAATTATCTACGTGGATTAAATTCCTTCAGTGACCTAAACATTTATAGAAAGCGACTCAGTAAATACAATGTATTCACAGTCTTCTAGAATGGCATCCTACACATTTCATATGGTGATCCACTGCGTTATGCTGGGTATTTTTATTTTCAGTTGTGTTGTTGTTGTCTGTTGCTTTGTTTGGGTTACTGCTTAAATATTTGGTTGATGACATGACATTACTTTTGCAGGCTCCTGTGAATTATATTTCCTTGCATTGTGTAAAACCAAGTTTGAGGCCACTATCGATGGCAATCTCCACTGTTTCAATCCATGTATTTGGAGATGTACCTTCCTCGCCTCTTGTTGGGATGCTGCAGGTGTTTACTAATGTTTTACTTGATATTTTGACTTGTTTGGTTACTTCCAGATCTTGATGTTAGCAAATCACATTTTTATATGCTTTAATCATTTACTTTGATTGGAATATCTTATTTATGGCCCCAGAATGCGCTTGTAAACTTGATACTGAAGATAAACTATCCTTTTCATATATAGCCTTCTCTTCTCTGAGAGGCTAGTATATGACATGAAAGTGCAGAAAATAGTGCTTAATTTGTTAGGCTAGAGGGGAGGACTGTAATTTCAATAAAATTTAGGGGAGGATACTCTAAATTCTAATTTATTTTCATTTTCTAATTTATGTGGGATTCATATTATCAACCACAGGAAAGTTGTTATGATAAATGCTTAAACTAGTTTAAAAGATTAAAAAATGCTGTGTGTGGGTCTCTATTTGCTTCTCCCTCTAATGTAAAAGTTTTAGATAGCTTAGCAATATGCCCCTTGAGTTTTGGTGGGACAGACAGTGGAAATTCTAGAAATAAGAACTGTCATTGGCCATAGTTTCCATGCAAGAATCGCTCTCACACATGGTTTCTGCTCGCGTGTTAACCTGTTCTGGTGTCGGTTACAGTGATATTATCTCGGTTTATAAATTGCATTCCCACTTTTTCTCAAAGCATTTTTTACTCACACCGTTGTGATATCCGTCCATTCTGGATCTATCAATGCCATTGTTTCCTGACCTGCTTAACGTGATCTATATGTTTAGGTGGTAATTGGTATTGGTCTTGTTTATTTAGTCCTTTGACATAAGGTCATGTTGGATTTCCGTTCACAGGATCACATTCACAACTGGAGGAAGACATCCCTTATTCTGACCTCCGTTTTCTTTCTTGCTGCTTTAATGTGGTTCATAGGTGAGTGCCGTGCCTTTTTTTTTTTTTTTTTTAATTTTCTGTTCATAATTTCTGCAATATATGTGTCAAACTAGAAAAGTTTTACTTACATCTTTTATCCTCAAAGTTAAACTAAATCTTCAGAACACATTATGGAGAAAATGGTAATTTAAACTGCTTATGGGTTATTTTTTCAAATACTTTGGCGATATTAACGCATCCTTTTATCTATTATTGCTGGAAGATTAAACTTCATTCCATCAGGATGGATAAATGGGGGCATTTGTTAAAGAAACTCAACCAGAATGACTAGATCTTGAAACTCTTATTAAGAGCCAAGCAGCAATATTTTATTTAGCATATGCGGAATCATGTCAATGTTAATGAACAGAAGTATCAAATTTGGCTGCTATGCTGTAATTCACTGAAGTGGAGAAATTGAGTGCCTGACTTCTTGTGCAGATTTTTTTTTTTTTTTTTGGGGACCAGAAATGTAGCAATGCTGTCATCTTGTGCTGACATTTAATTTATGAAGGCACAAGCTCTAACGAATGGGGGGGGGGGTGTCAATCCCGGCTCTAAATGTGATTTTAATTTGTCTGAAAGCTATAGTTTGGAAATTGATGATAACTTTGTGTTGATATCCAGAAAGACGATGTAACAATTTTGACAGAATTCCTCGTGGAATTTGTTGCTTGAAGACTCCTGCTGCTATTTGTTGACTTTTTTGTTATCAACAGGAGAGAATTAATCTTACCTATTCTGCAGGGGTTTTTCTGAAAAGTGTTGATCTATTCAACGAAGATGCTGACGAACAACCTGCTGCATCTAGAAGAGACAAAATGACGCCATTACTTGAAGATGATTCCAGTGAAGCCTAATTTGTTTTGCTTCTTTGACGAGTAAACAAGTATATTATGCTTATGAATTTCACTTGACATGAGTTGATTACCTTTGTGCTTGTGAATTTCACCTGACAATAGTTGATTACCCTATAGCCTGTCTTGTGCATTGTGATTGTTTCTTGCTCATGTCAATCTGTTAAATTTGTGGAATGCAGAACATGTTAAGGTATTATCTTATGGAAGGGCTATAGTAACATTACAACTCAGGGACGACGGGGAATCAAGTGATGACACAACTCTTGAAAGGAGTAAAATAGAAGTTATGCCTGCTAGGTGAGAGGTGTCTGTTGTTGATGGAGTGGCAAGTCCCCAGTGTGTTAATATTTCTGTTGTTTAAAATGTATATATGAAAAATGACGAGATATTTACATACGCTCTCCTTTTCTTTTTATGAAGAACAGATACCCACTTTCTTAATATCAAGGAAAGTAGTTTGATTTAGTTAGAAAATTTAAATGTACAGGTGAATAGATATTTTTCCATACTAATACCTGCACTTTTAGCAAATCCTTTACCATTGTAAGTTTCTTTCTTTACGCTTATATTTAGCCAAAACTTTCTACATACTCAGGTGCAATGAATGGTACAATTTAGTTCTTTTTTTTTTTTTTAATAGTGATTCTAATTATGCACACTAGGTACAGTTGTGAAATCTAGATTCAAATTTGAGGCTCCTTAGTTGCGTGCAGGAGGTAGTATGATTTAAAGCATTTGTTACTACACTCGAAACGCTGTGCTTAGGGATTTTTAGGCTGCGGGAAAAAATATTAAAGAGTCTAGGGAGATGTTACTTTTTAATATTATACTATCTACAGTCCTAATTATAAAACCTTGTTTGTAGATGACAAATAAGGTTTTATAATTAAGATCAAAGGTAGTAATATTTTTCTAGCTTTTCAAGCTTCAAAATTACTTATTAAATTTCTATAATCAAAAGATTATGACGTTTCAGTTTCCATTGATGGCATGACTAAAGACTAATACGTTCAATCTATCTTATAACATGGTTAATCTTAAATATGATTTAAGCAATTTTAATTTTGAAATAACTGTTACAAGCATTGTCAATAACATCTCATGACTAATGCATATATGTGAAAAAGAATGTAATCTTTAGTGTAGTCTAAGATAAGAGTATCGGTTTCCTTTTACCAAAACTTTTGCTTACTGTCCTCACTTCAGAAAATAAATCAACACTTCGAATATTTTATTCACTTGCCACCAATATATTGGGCCTAATTGAGCGCATATTTTATTGAGGTCTACTCCATGTTAAATACTAAAAATATCTATATATTACGGACATCGTATAATTATCTTCTTCTTCTTTTTGCCAATGATCATGTGTGTGTATATGGGGCCTTGTACAGCGTAGGGCCCCAAGCGCATTTAATAAGATCTTAATCTATTTTATTTTTTTATTTATTCTCAAAATATCCTTATTAATTGTAAGAATTTCCTACTAGAAGATAATTCTAATCATCCAATGCATATGATTGAAGAGGATAGTTTAGGGAGACCAATATATATTTGTAACAAATAACTAATTTAACTAATTTTTTTAATCTTTCCAAATTACTTATCTAACTCTTATATTAAGGATTAAAAGCAATATTTAGCTTTTACATTGTAAAGCCTTATTATATCAAATCTTGTAAATCTCTTTATGTATCAGTCATTACTATAAGAGTTAGATAACTAATTTAAAAATATTAAGAAAATTAGTTAAGTTAGTTATTTGTCACAAATATATGTTGATCTTCCTAAACTATCCTTTTAAATCATCTAGATTGGGTGATTGAAATTACCTTTATTGAGATTTACAAAATTGAAATGAAAGTTAATTACGTTAGTGTAATCCTTACCAAACGGCTGAGACTAAGGATCTATTTGGTATAAAGAAAAATAAGAGGAGGGGGAGGAAAAATTTTAATAAGTTCAATTTAAAAATTGGGTTAAAAATTTTTAATTAATTTTTTATTATTCTTTTATATTACTTCTTCTCTTTATTAAAATTTTAAAATCTCACTTTTTTAAATTTTTCAAACAAAGCTCATTAAAATTTTCCTTCTCCTCCCCTCCCTTCTATTTCCCTCATACGAAGCACAGTACCTAAAGCTGCATTCTCTTTTCTCCTTTGATACTGCTCTCTGTCACTGACCATCATCCTCCAATGCGGGACACTTCGGTCCTTTTAATACTTTTTTCAAAAATTAATAAATAAATTAGTTTAAATGGTCATAAACAAGTAGGTCATTGTCTTGTAATTACATTATATTTCTCTACATAGATCCCCCTACTCACAGTAAAATTGAATATTATATAAATAACCACGTATTTTAGTTTCACAGTAAAATGTCTTCAAGGTGATGAGGGTAATGAAGCTCCTTATCCTGTTTATCTACTGCATTCGTCTCTGCACCACTGCTCCCTCATTTTCCATTACAATCAATAGCAATACTGAATGATTCTTTGGTTGGGAAAGGGGCTAAGGCAAGGCAATACTATGTGTCCTTTGCTTTTTGTAACGTGTACGGGGGTGATATGTGGCATGCTAGATGTCATGTGCTGGGCAAGTGAGTTCCATAGGCATGGTTTCATGATCTATCTTTGTTTTTTTGTTTTTTGGAATAAAAGCAATTATGTTATAAAATAAAAAGATAAAATATATAAATATAAGTTCAGTAGGAGAGTTTCGAGGAGAAAATCTCCAGAAAGACAAGGAAATATCATGGAAAATTAGAAAATAAACATGGTCAAAAAATTTTAGATATAAGCAAATATCAGAAGAAACTTGGAACCAACAAACAAAATTGCCCGAGAAGGACGCTGATGATGATAGGAAGAAGAATAAGATGATACCTTAATAAAGAGCATATACAAGACATGCCAAGCAAAAGATCTCATAAAATAAGGATTGAGGCTCCTTCAAAGTGATTCCATGAATCATGATCTATCTGGTTATGATCTTCACAAGGGAGTTCCCAGTAATGCCACAAGGAGAGCGATCAAAGCTATAAATTATTGGCCCATGACACAAGGAATGTCGTTATCTTAAGACCCAAGAAATGAATTGGCAAACCATAATAAAATAGAGGGAGGATATGACTGGTATGAATACTTTTTGCAGTTACATAGTAAATTTATTTTTATCACGCTGTGTATATATGGTACCGGAGGAGAGGAACCAAATAAATCCATTACTAGGATCCTACTAAGTACTGGTATGGAAGGTGTCTTCTTTTTATCAAGAAATTAAAGATACTGTTGGTAGTTGTAGCAGCTTATATGTGATTCGGAAATTATCTGTTAATCGAGATTTATGCAATAATAATTGGGGAATTAAGAGTTGTATCCTTGATTTAATAATTCACTAAAAGTATGGCATGTTGCTTCAGTATTTCAATTTTCAATGGTCATGGTTAACTAATTCAGATATGTGCCCATTTTAATTCACCATTTGAATAAGAGGACCATGAAAGTCATACAAGAAGCTGCTGAGCTTTCAGTGTAAACTTAATGCTAACTTGGAGGGAAGAGACATGGGAAAAGACAAAGACGGAAATACTCCTAATATATTTAAAAAAAGGGGGGGGATACACACACATATTCTACTTCCTATTAATGTAAATACACACACACAAAAAGTTGTGGAAAATTTGGACAATTTATTTTTTTTTCACTCTCCTATTATGCCAAAAGATGTGTGGGCACACTCCTCCTTTTCTTTTCTTTTTTGGAAGAAAAAATATGAAATGTGATTGTACTATAATTAAGGATTTCTTGGGCAATTGCATTTCTAATTGGCTACGAAACTGAGCTTAAATATGATAGTGAACTGTGAATTGTGAAACACATTTCCTAATATTAAAAAAAAAGGTGAAGCCCCAGCGCAGCCCCTGGTGGGTACTCTTTGCATTATTGGTCTAATAAAAAGGCAAGACACACGTGCCATTTCTGTCACACCGTGTCTAATTCATTGTCTTGATTGACGTGGACTGACGGGGTCCACGTTAAACTCCCTCGTCAGCGTCAGAACCTGAAGCAAATTTGGTTGTTTCTTCTTTAGTTCTGCACGATCGTGCTCTTTCTCTGCTTCTGTTCCTGTTGATTTTGTTTATATTTACAAAAGCCCATTTGTGAGTTTCACCCTATAATCCTTAATCTGGTGAGCTTTTTGCTTAATCATCTCACCCATCTTTTCAACGTGATACTGTAATTTCTTTGTTTGCCTCGGGAATAGTACTCTTGCAAAGGCGTTGGATATTCTATTTGGTTCCTTTTTCCGTCAAGTTCTTTGGAAGCAGCCAGAAGCTCGGTAAGGTTCTACAAAGGTTTGGTGGCCTTTTCTTTTTCTGTTCGGTGAGTTTGTTGTAAAATTTCGTCAAGTTTTGTGGCATTTATCGGAAATCAGTGAACATTTCCTTAGTAAATCTTAATATTTCAGTCAAGTGGGTCGTAGTTGGTAAGAATGTGGACATGTCCACCAATTAGTTATGAACGACACGTCTACATTCTCAGTTTGAGACCTCAAGCGTGAAAAGGAATCAGCATACCCCTTGCTTCGCTTTGCAATCCCCCGTAGTTTGTAATTGTTAGATGGAAGCCTGGGTTCAATTTTCCTTTTTTGAGGTTTAAGAACAAACTAATGCTGTGGAGTACAATGGATTTACGTTATTCTAAACTCAATATTTGTAGTCCATATATATCTTTTGTGGAAGTTTATTAGATAGATTGCCTATGTTTAGGTGTCATTTTGGGGATGTATCAAGCAACCATGAACTGTATGCTATAGCTTACCTCGCTTGCTGGTTTTTAACCTATTGCTGGCAGCTTTTTTCTGAGAATTGGAGCTGGTCATCTGAAATTGTGGCAGTTTAGAGCTAAGAACTATTCTAAATCCGCTATTTTTCTGCTCTTTTACCGTTAGCTATTCCTTGGAGTTTGAATTTCCAAAATTATGTATTGTATGGCTGGGTGATAATGGCCCGTTTGGAACAGCTCATAAGTAGCTTATAAGTAGCTTTTTAATAGTGATTTATGGAATACGAGGCAAGTATGTGAGAGGAGTTTTGTCTCGGCGTGAAACTTGCTTATAGGGAATTTCCATCATGATCCCAAACAGGCACAATATTGTCAACTCCTACAAAGACAGCAGCAGACCCACTCATATATACCAATTCAAAATTTCTTGAGAGTATAAGCCCAACATATGCATGAATCATGGGACTAGTGCCCCAGAGATTTTTTACAGAGCTTGAAGTGTACCCCCCGCCCCCAAAAAAAAAAAAAAAAACACCAAAACCCCCCACACTGAAAGGGGGGCAAAAAAACTTTTGATTGGTTCACCCCTGTTCAGACTTGTGGTGGATACAAAACAAGTTGGATCAATTTAATTTACCTACTCTTAGGGAATTAGTTTTATCAGCCTTGGTTGCTTTCTGAGTCTAAGTATGATTTCTGATTTCTTTTACCTTCCGTTTCAAATTGTTGCCTTCTACAAGCGTGTTCTGAACCAAAGAAAGATATAAAAAACAGTAGGGGTATCGGGTTTGTTATTGAACTTTATTGAGCTGTTACGGAATTGAAATATATAGCTTCTATGTTCTGGTAGAAGGCAGGGATGTTCTTGTGCATCTAAGTCGCTGCTTCTTGTCAATTGTCAAATATAAGACAAAGATGAGAATGGAAACATCAGTTGTGACAAAATTACTTGACTGTGTGTGGGTTTGCAGTCTGAAATTATTAATGCCAGCATTTTAAGTTGTGCAATTTAGCTTTCTATGGGGTGAATTGTTTGCCCCAGTAAAAATATATTCCTTCAACTTCCATCTCATTTTTTAAGTTTGAAACTTGAAGCAACCAGCAAATTCACACCCATGAAGAGTCAGGAATTATATTTGTTCTGCTGCAAAGCCGCTAATACTTATATCAGATACGTTTGTAATTTATCTCATTCGATGTGTAAATTGTTGTGCTTCATCACTTTTTCCCCCCAGCACAAGAGAGTCAGCTTAGCTAGTAAAAGGAAATGATATTTTCAACCTATGTTCAATAGTCTGAAGAAATATAAGATCTTCCTTGAGAATGGAGTTTAATTTTGCAGATGGAGGTAGCTAAGGACCTTACTGCTGGCACAGTTGGAGGTGTAGCGCAATTAGTATGTGGACACCCTTTTGACACCATCAAGGTCAAGCTCCAAAGCCAGCCTACACCACTTGCTGGCCAGCCTCCCAAGTATTCAGGTGCTATTGATGCTGTCAAGAAGACATTAGCTGCTGAAGGTCCCAGAGGGTTATACAAAGGGATGGGTGCACCACTTGCCACAGTAGCAGCATTTAACGCTGTCCTGTTCTCGGCCAGGGGACAAATGGAGGCCTTATTGAGGTCCCATCCTGGTGCGGCACTTACCGTGAAACAGCAGGTTGTCTGTGGCGCTGGTGCTGGAGTTGTAGTTTCCATTCTAGCTTGCCCCACTGAACTTATCAAATGCAGGTCAATGATGATCTCCCTTCTGATTTCGTTTTCTATAAAGAAATTCTTTTGTAGTATTGATCCATATGAATTCTATAGACCACATTAATCATAATTAGACTTGCCAAACCTATTGTTTCTTTCTGACTGGCCTTTAACATGTCTGTGTGTTTTCCATGGTTAGATTGATCTATACGCAATCACCTAAATTTAGTTCCAAGTTTTTCTTTTCTTTCTTGTATGTTTCTCTTTTAAATATGAAGAGGATGAGAGTAGTAAGATCCAAACAATACAAGCACCTCCTCGCAAGCTTATCATCAACATGCCAGTTGTCTTCTTGACTTCTGCTTGAAACTCTACTGTGGGTCTATGCTTTGCGTAAATTTTCAAGTGAACTGCAATATGTATGAGATGGAGACTTGGTAGTATGATATACTAAGTTCCACAATACTATGAGATGCTCAATAGGGTACTTAAGGGGGTTGGTTCTCCAATCTCAATAGCTGGTTTTTGGGGTACAGTTCCCCATCCCGTTTAGGTGCCCATCAATATGATTCATGAGTAATGCCTAATGTGGCCTCCTATGAATTTTATATGATATAGTACATCTGGTCCTCAATATAAGACCTCATTAACTTTTATTTTGGTCTTAAATATAAGACCCAAATTCACTTTATCTCTTATATTTATTTTTATTTTTTCAAAATAGTTCTTCTGATAATGGTAGTTCTAGCCAATGAACTTGATTAATAAGGATATTTTAGGAAAGACAACATCTATTTATTACAAATAACTAACTTAAATTATTTCCTTAATCTACTCAAATTAGTCAACTAGCTCTTATATTTAGGATTGAAGGTAGTAATACAGATGTATAGATATCTTGATTAACTGGTAATTAGGTTTCTCTCTTCAGGTTGCAAGCACAAAGTGTTGTTGCAGGTTCTGGAACAGCTGCTGTGGCTATCCAGTATGGAGGACCCATGGATGTGGCCAGGCAAGTTTTAAGATCTGAAGGGGGAGTGAGAGGTCTATTCAAGGGCATGGTTCCAACAATGGCACGTGAGGTACCGGGAAACGCCGTCATGTTCGGTGTATATGAAGCGATAAAGCAGTTTCTAGCGGGAGGTTCTGATACATCAGGGCTAAGTAGGGGCTCCTTGCTTGTTTCTGGAGGCTTGGCTGGAGCTTCAGTGTGGTTGGTGGTCTACCCAACTGATGTGGTTAAGAGTGTGATTCAAGTGGATGATTACAGAAAGCCAAAATTTTGCGGTACCATTGATGCCTTCAGGAAGATTTTAGCTTCAGAAGGGTTAAAAGGTCTGTACAAGGGCTTTGGTCCTGCAATAGCTAGAAGTGTCCCAGCAAATGCAGCTTGCTTCTTGGCTTATGAGATGACTAGATCAGCCCTGGCTTGACTTTATATCTTTGTTAATGACGCTTTAATTCAAGCAATCATTTTTTTCAATCAGTGATTAGATTGTATTACTGTTGGTCATTGAGAGATAAGAAGAAAAATCTGCATATTCCATGTGAACGTTTTGGAAATGTTTGAGCACTCTGGATATTACTCTCGTAATAATATATCTTTGGAAATTTGTTTGCTACGTCGGATTATATATATTTTGCTTCATTAATAGAATCAGGTTATATAATGGTTTGTTATGAAATAATTTTTTTAATAAATTGTAGTCAACTTCTAGTTGGCTGGTATTATGTTAACTAATTTAAATTTTTGAAACCATATCCCTTGAAATAAATATATAGTATAGATATAATTATTAGATGTCACTTTGAATATGTTTTATTTCTTTAAATAAGATTAGATTATTCAATATATTTTTATTTTATTACATCAGGAGCGAGATTCGAATTTGTAATCGTGTGGGTTATGAGCCAATTTCTTACCAATTAGAACAACTCTTGTTAGTTTTTTCTTTCATATATTTAAAGTACTTATTTCTAATTAATGACAGGATTTTTTTACACCTTTTTTTCTATGATAAATTCTTGTTAACGATATTATTGATACTTTATGCAATAATGCAGAAAACTGAGAAAAGTATTGTTTGGTTAAAACAGAGACGAAGAGAATAATGAGTGAAACTCCTTCTAAAGTGTATAAAGAGTTTTATAAGGAGTTAGAAACAAAGTCAAAGAAAAAAATATTTACAAGATTGCAAAGCAAAAAGAGATTTGGACTAGGTAAGGTGTATAAAAGACGAAAAAGATAAAGTATTAGTTATTGATGAAGATATTAAGGATAGATAGAAGGCTTACTTTTACAAGTTGCTCAATGAAGGAAGTGAATGTTCAACATGGGACTTGGAGGACTTGCTAATTAGTAAAGAGGACCGGAATTTGGCTTTTTACAGTAAGATCTGCATTAAAAAAGTTAAGACAACTATTAAGAAAATGGACAATAGTAAAGCCATTAGACCTGATAGTATTCCTATTAACGTTTGGAACTATGTAGGTGACGAGGGTGAATTGTGGCTAACCAAGTTTCTTAATAAAATTTTATGCTCTAAGACTATGTCGAATGGATGAAAGAAAAGTAATTTAGTTCCTATTTAAAAGAATAAATGAGATATTTAAATTGGGTAAGCTACAGAGAGATAAAACTTATGAGCCATACAATAAAGTTGTAGGAAAAAGTAATTGAATATAGGTTGAGATTGGCGACTTCCATTTCTGAGAACCGATTTGGATTTATGCCAAGGAGATCTACAACAGAAGCGATTTATTTACTAAAAAGGTTAATGGAAAGGTGTAGGAATAAAGAAAGGGATTTATGTATGGTTTTTATTGACTTGAAAAAAAATTATGATCATGAGCCAAGAGAAATACTTTAAAAAGCTTTGGAAAAGAAAGGTGTGTACTAAAGCCATATAAGATATGTATGAAAGGGTAACTACTAGTGCAAGAATGCCTGGAGGTGAAACAAAAGACTTCTCTATTAAAATTGGCCTACACCTGGATTTTTTTTTAAGCCCTTACTTATTTAATATTGTTCTAGATGTTCTAACCAAGTTTATTCAAGAAGAAATCCTTAAGTGCATATTGTTTGCAAATGATGTAGTTCTCATGGCTAAATTAAAAGAAGAAATTAACTCTAGATTGGAGTTATGAAGAAAAACTTTGGAGTCGAAAGGTTTTCATCTGAGTAAGAGCAAAACAGAATATATGCATTGTAATTTTGTTAGAGAGGCAAGTCAATGGTAATTTGGAGATGAAGATAGGAGGTCAAATCATTCTTTAAGTATCAAAATTCAAATATCTAAGATCCATTATATATGAGGATGGTGAAATTAATGGAGACGTTTTTCATAGAATATAAGTTGAGTGATTAAAGTGGATGAAGACTATGGGAGTTAGTTGCGATCAAAAGGTACCTAATAAGCTTAAGGGAAAATTTTATTAGACTGCTATAAAACCAAGTTGTGTTATATGATAGTGAATGTTGGGCTCTAAAAGGAAAATAAGAGCTTAAAGTTGGAGTAGTAGAAATGAGGATCAAAAGATAAGATTCAAAATAAAAATATTAAAGTAAAAGTAGGTATGGCGCCCATCGAAAATAAAATGGTTGAACATCGTTTGAGGTGGTTTAGGCATACGTAGAAAATGCCATTGGTGGTACCGGTAAGAAGGGTAAATCAGACAGTTTGGTGTCTTATAAAAAGAGATAGAAGGTCGAGGAAAATACTTAATAAGATCATTGAACAAAACCTCCAAGTCAACAACATATCTAAAGATTTGGTTGTTAACAGAGTACAATGACGCCGTGTGATCCACATAGCTAGCCCCATCTAGTAGGATAAATCTTCTCGTCGTTATTGTAATTGTTGATGTTATTGATACTTTAAAATCTATTTATTTTGATATGATTAAACAAAAGTATATTGCTGGAAAAAAAAAGTATATTAAGTGTATAAGATTAAGTATACAAGCCTCGCAGGGTCAAAACTGCACAAGAAAGGGATAATTAAACGTCTAATGGAAAAAAAATAATCCCTACATTCTATAGGAGGGTCGCTTAAAATATCGACATTGTCGTAGCAAGTCTAAATGATGAGCATTAATTAAAAGGAAAAGTGAAACATCAAAAAAATTAATATATAAATTAGTTAAAACTGTTTTACAATTATAAACGACGTTAAAAATTTAGTTATCCTCTTGAATCATAATACAGATGAAGAGACTCATATGCAATATAAGGACATGGCCATCTTTCGCGAGAACACAATAAGTAGCTATTAGCTACAGAAGCTACAAAACACTTAAATATTTACCTTAAAAATAAAAAAATTAAAAGGAATATGAAGTGAATGATGAATCTGTAGAAGTTATTTAAAATTTATCACATCACTCACTTTTTTCGGGAATATCAAATATGCTTTCATTATATAGTATGAAAGACAAAAGATTTAAATTAACTTGAAATGGTGTTATTTATATACCTTGCACATTATGTTGCAATATCTCTCCAACTTGGCTCTACTATTTTTTTTTTCCCAAATGAAGACAATCAATTATTAAACTTGATTACGAGTTAGGATGGAGCCATGGAAACTTATAATAAACAACGCATTGAGCTCAATTATTAGCCATATCACATCTTTATAATATTCATTTCTTGAAGATTCGGGAGACTCTGAAATTTTTAAGTAAACTTATACACTGTTGGAACCTGGAAATTATCAGCTCAAAACATTGTCTCTCATGACTGTGTTTGTTTAATGGAGGAGAGGGGACACGCTTTAAGCTATGTTTGGTACAATGGAAGTTTCTTTAAGCAAAAGGAAAAAGGGGGGAGGGGGAGACTACGGTGAACAAGGGGCACAAATCAAACATGATTAAAAAAAGGTGGAAAAAAAATAGCCCCTCATGTTTGGTAATTGGTATGAATGAAAATACAAATTAAATGTGGAATAAAAATTACTAAAAAAAATATGAACACTCTAAATCTAATTTATTTTAAAGAAGAAAAAAAAAAGATAGTCAAGTCGTTCAAAAAATATAGCCAGCAAAAGTAAATATACTCAATAATTAGAAAGAACTTAATTTAAATTGTTTATATTCATTGTGTCAAATTCTCTGATCACATGGCTATGTTTTTTTTTACGTGGGTTAATAATTAAATTATACTAAAGTTTAACATTTTAAAATAGAACATAGGTTATGTATGATTGAAAATTTAACAAAATATAAGTAATTTAATCTAAGTATTGTCCTAAATTTATTATTAGAAAATACCCCACCCCGTGAAATTTTATGTACTCCTCAAGTCCTATTACAAGGTAGACGGAAGGGTTTTATTGGCTTTATTTATAAATCATCTTATTAAATTTTTATTATGAATTATTATTTTGTCATTCATTTATTCTAATATAAATAATTACTATTTTTTAGAAGATATATGTAATAAATAGAGATAAAATTAAAAATTTATTATATTTAAAAAAAATTAATGCAGTTGAAATTTTTTTTAATAAATATACGAGGGTTATTAGTACAGTAACAGTAATGTATGGATCCCATTTATTGACAACGAATCGGACAATGGGTGCGAGTTTCCAAGCACTTTTCATGTCTATCCAAATCCTATAATTTGGTGAAAATTGGATTCGAAATAAGGTAATAAGGTGAGATGGATGCTTCCCGCTGGCCACCCTTGTAGGCCGCTAAACTATGTCAACCCAAATCCTATACTCCTTTGATTTTAAGATTAAAAAAAAATATTTTTTGATTCTATTTATAGGATATGAAAAAAAAATTATATAAATATATAATTTTATCCTTTATTTATTATTATGTTGAATTTTATTTACATGACATATAATATATATTAAATAGGAATAAAATTAAAAAATAGAGTTAATAAAGTTTAAAGTTTTCTTGATTTATGTGAAATATGTTAAAAGTGACATATAAATAGGAATCAAATGAGTAATTTGGTGAATAATATTGTTTTCTTAAAATTCCAAAATAAACAATATTTTAAAAATAAGACAATAATTTTGAAATAGAATTATTCCTTGATCCTTGTAGTAAAGTCTCTCTTAAAAAGTTTTTCATGATCCTCATTATAAGATTGTCTTTGTAAATTTTCTTTAACATTAAATATTTATTCTAAATGTCCTTGTATATCAAAGTTAACCAATTCATATCCTTTAATTCTACAACTTATAATCCTTAATATAAAAATTAGATAACTAACTTATCCAGATTCAAAAAAAATTAGTTTAATTAGTTGTAATAAATTAGTATTGTCTTTTTCAAAATATCATCATTAATTATGTGCATTGAAGTTACAAAAGTTGGAAACATGTTAACACGTTATTTGAGAAAAAATAGATAAACATTAAAAAAACATATTAAAATCTTATACTTATAATTAAATTGAATTTTTAATTAGTTATTATATTAAGAATATAAGGAAGTAGTAAGAGTGCACCAACCCCTTAAGAGTGTAAAATAAATGGGTGGCTCAAACACTGTACCATTATAATTGTGACGTGCAGTTAGAATGATTCAATTGATATACTCCTTCGATCTTTATTACAGAACCCAATTGTTAAGTTGGTTTTGGTCCTAAATATAAGACCCATTTCTTA